TGGCGTGGGGCGACACCTGCCCGGGATTGTAACGCTGTCCTTCCCGTCACGCTCCGGCCGAGCCTTCGCAAAGATTTGCCGGTACTGCGTCCTCCTTCTTCGGGCGGGTACAGCCAAAACCAGTTCAATGCGGGCTTTGGGATCTTTGCAGCACATGCACAGAGTTTACGTGCTCTAAATGCCTACGATACGGAGGAATCCAGCAACTTCTAATGGGATGCATCTGCCTAGAGGAAGAATTCCTCATTTAAGATGGGTAATAAGCAAACGATATTTACTGATGAACAGCTAGATGCCTACCAGGTAAGATGCCTTACTTTGCCTTAGGGGAAGGAAAGGCGTAATGTGTTTGTGGTTGGTTTTTGTTTTGTTGTTTTGGGGGTTGCTTTTTCCAAATAGAAACAAGGACTTAATTTGTAGCCTGTATGCATATATTCTGTTTCTTCCAGCAGCTGTAATAGTATTCTAAGGCTGCGTTGTTGAATATATTCAGTTTAATTCCCTTCACTGTATAAAGGGAAAGGAGTCAAATCCTCAGTGTCTGAACTAGGAAGCAGGATAAAGACTGTGACTAGCTTGACCATGGGAGAATCTTTCTATTGAGTGTTTTGTAAAGAAAAAAGTGTAGCAATAACCTCTTTTTCTGTCCCTGATAAGTCATACAATATGCTTAATGTAATTCCAGAATACGTATCCTTGTGCTCTCATCCACTCCTGGATGGCCATTTCTTACCTTGACAGAAGTACGCGTTTTATATCCAGGAATAGCTTATTGATACTTCTTTATTTACTTCACATTGCATCAACTGAATTTTTCATGGGGTAAAAAAATCATAATTCACAGTTTTCAGTCGTGTTTCAGTACACTGCAAATCATACTGAAATGGATTGCAGGAAACTATCTGCACAGTGGACATTTTGAACAAATTTCTGGAAATACAGTGAGGCAATATATCAAATAGAAGTGTGCTGAAGGAGGCAGTTGACTGCTTATTATGAGATGCAGACAGGGCTGGCTGCATTGCTCTGTTCCCTTACATGAAGTGATAAACATAAAATAAATGCTAATTTCCTGCACTGGCAATTCTGTCTATCTCGTGATAACCAAGTTGATAACTCTTTTTACCTTCAGCATCTTGACTCAAGCCCTTGGAGTAGAAACGAAGGTTTTAAATACTAGTTTTCTTTGGAGTTACTGATAACATGGACTTTTCATAGGTGTAGATATTTAGCCACAGAGTCAGGCTAGGGATATATGCTAAGCTGCCTTAAAATATTATCCAATGCTGAAAATAAGGCATAAATTAAATGTTCTTATTAAATTCCTGGCCTTTCTCTTGTTATGGTAGGAAATGTGAAAATGGAGTTTCTTTAGTTTCCACTTTGTCATACATCTCACCCTCACCAGCAGTCTGTCACTGTAACAAATTAGTCTAAGTTAGTGGTCTTAGACTTAGTAGTCTAAGATCCAAAAAGGCTTTTTTACATCCGTGCTAGATAGATAAGAGGGAAATCAAAGATCTGTAAAACACCAATGTCTGTCTTCCTGCTACCGATAAAAGTGAACACAGAACAGAGCCCAAGTGCAGTGAAACAAAACAAAATCCAAATGTAATTAATGTTATCTTCTTGACATAAACTGGCAAATGCAAGAGCTGAAATGTCATCCCTAATTCACTACTCCTCATGTAGAAATTGCCTTTCTCTAATGGCTTTTGCAGCCCCTGCCTTTCATAATGCTGGGTAATTGATCTCAAAGCCTGGCAGTAGTTAGACCTGGTGGATTGAGTCAGCCCATGGGATTTCTCTGTTACAGGCAAACTTGTAGTTCATTAGTATAGTGCTACCTAATTTTTGACTAGTAATATCACCTGTTATATATGGTAAGTACAATAAAATAGTAACTTTCAGGACAATAACTAACCTCCAGAATTTGTCAGGAAGGAATATTAGCCTCATTCTGTGGACAATCAGATAAAAGTCCTTATTTTGATGGTGATTTGCCTCTGACCCCTTAGTTACACATACCTCTTGGATCTTTTAAACATAGAAATCCTGGGCTTACTGCTGTAGGCATCCATACAGAGGTCTTGCCTCTCCACTCCACTCGGGGGGAGTATGCAGTTGCTGTAATACAAATGGAGCTGTTTGACTTGGAGTTTGCCATCTTATCTGCTTTTTTCTCATTTGTGGAGTGCCTTCAGAACAGAAAAGGCGAGAAGGGGGTAAAGGTTCCACAATTTTTAAAATGCAGTTTTTTCGTTCCTTGAACCAGCAGTTGAGTTGCCAGGTCCTCTGAACACTGGGCCAAAGAAACACTGTACTGGGGTCCACTTTGCAACAGACTGTTGTGCACATCTGGACCCCACTGTACAGCCAGGGATCTACATATAAATTGCTTTTTAAATGGATCGTTGATTTTTTTTCTAAATCAGTACTAGGCAACTTCTTGTGAATCTTTATGTCTATGAGTTGGTACTGTACTCCTTACAATAATACCCAGGGTTACAGCATCCATAGTATCAATATGGCTGAAGCAAAAGAGTCAACTTAATCCTTTTTCTAAAATAGATTTTTTTTTTTTAATTGTGCCACATTTCCTATTGGAAGACTGTTCAAAACCTCACTCACCTTGTGGTTAGACTTATAATTTCTTTATTTCAATAGATTTCTGCCCCTTGTATTATCTGGTTGTAATTTCCACCATTTTTGTCTGTAACACGAATTGCTTTGAGCTTATAGCACCTGAATGCTACTACAGTAGTGAATTTTTTTTTAATCCATTATGTTGTAAGTGCTTGTTCCATAGAAGACACTGTGAGATGGAAAAGTGAGACGCTAATGTGTTTCAAGTATGGTAAAACCCTGTGTGAGTGGCTTTGGTTTTCAGGAGTAAAGATCAAGCTGCAGAAAAATCTCCTTTTGAAGAGCTAGCATACATAAATCTTAGATCAAGCATGCATAAATCTCAGATCATTACTATGATATTAATGAAGTAAACTAACCTTATTTGATTTGTCTAAAACTTTCTGAAATGACCATGTATAAACTTGTTTGGCATATAAACTGTCATATTGAAGAGTCACTTTTTAGCAGAACTTTTACATTTAAATGAAATAATTGTAAATCTGGTCACCCACAAGATGACCTCAATGATTTTAATAGATGAGTGTTTTAAATGCTCTTCAGTAAGACTCATGATGGGTGGCCGGTGGAAACTGTAAAAGAGATGTGTAATAGTACTTGGTTATATTAAACCTCTCAGCTTTTTTTTTTCAATTAGAAGTAGTTAGAGGCAAATTAAAGAAAGGCTGGAAAGCTGCAGATCTCCTAACACCTGTCTTCTGTTATTAAGATCGTATCACCTGCTATTAGGATAATGTTCTAGTTGGCAGCTCTTTAAATTTTTGTAAGCTTAGTGAAATGTTTTGGAAGCTAGTCTTTTGTGACCATTTGTTTCTTCATTGAGATTCACCTCATTTAAATAAGTTAGCCTTATAAGAAAATGAATTCTGCTAAGGATTTCTGCTGCTTATGCCCTAAGAGTACTTGACTTTTTAGCTTCTCAGTAAGATAGCTATATGAATCTAATCAGCCTTGACTTGAGGATATTGTCAAAATTCCTGTTCATCATTGGTTTACTTTGTGACTTGCTGATTTTTGAGACTTTTCTAATTTGGAGTAATTTTTGTATTGCTAAGACTGCTCTATATTATTTCCTTATTTATAAAACTTTCCAGTGGAGCTGTTGCAGGAATAGAATAAAATTGCCCTTATGAAACCACATGTAAAAGGCAGAATTATGTATGTATTGTCTTAGAGGAGAAATATGCATTTAATGAGTTTAAGAAATATTATTTCACAGTAGCTTTGCGTACTTGAGCGTTGCTCTTCTTTAATTCTGTTGTTCCTTTCTCCAGTTTTTCTTCTTTTCTGTAGGGAAGTGTTTTGTGTATTTATGTGAAATTAGTTTTATTTGAAAACCGTGCTTTATGCACAATGATACTTGCTTCTGAAAGTGGTAAGTGATAATCTTTCCTTCAGTGGACTCTGCTGCCCTCCATAAACTGCATGCTCTGGTATTGGCAGTAGATCCACAGAACAAATCACACGAGGTCTGATTCCGGTGCCATTCCTCATGTTACACTGTGTATGTATACTTTACATAAAGTTAAGTGTCAGCATTCTCAGCACAGTTACCTCCATTGCCATTTTCTGTTCAAATTCCTGTAGAACTAAACATGAAGCAGAACCACTCTAGGAGTTTGCAGTGAAGTCTCACAGACTAGTGGAAAAGGTAGTGGAGTGCCATATTTCGGTATGTTCCCATTTTGTCCTACACCTGCATTCGCCTGACATAGGAAATCAAAGAATAAAACTCTAACAGCCTGTACATTTTGCGCTTTTATCAGCTAAATTTTAGGAGCAGAGGCCATTAACCCTACTTTACAAGCAGTGTTGAGTGACTTGCAGAAAGTCACACTGCCAGCCAAGAGCAAAGCTGCCTGTGGAACCTAAGTACATCAGCTATCTGACTCTTTTTCTCTGCAAACTATTTTAAGAACCAGTTAAGCCACCTGAAGGCCAGATTTGAGAACAAAATCCTGTTATACAAGCTCATTGAAATCAATGGGAAATTTTCTGTTTGCTTTATTTTATTCACTTTGCTAGACATAAGGAAGTTAAGGGGATAATTGCAGATTTGTTTGCGTGGTATCTTACCTCCAGAAAACCATCAGTGATATTTTGTGTCAGGCTTCTAATTAACTTGATTATTAAGGGCACGAGGACAGACTGAGTGGGACAGTTGATCTTAGAAAAGGAGCACGTATTTTCTCAGGTCCTGGAGAAGGTACCCTTTCAAGGCAAAGCCTCTATTCTAAATAACCTAAAACCCACAAGGGGCCTCCTGTTAGCAGTTTTTTCAGGCCATTGTATAGCACTAGAAATGGAAGCAATGATTCTCAGGATGAATTCTTGCCAGTAATCTTGAATTGTTAAGAATTATGAAAACTTTGGTGACATTTATTTGTTCAATATTTAGTTTGTGCTTTTCTAGCAGGACTCCTAGTGGCTTTTAGTGTCCAGACAGAATAAACAGATTGCTTTAAGTTTATAATAAACTCAAATACAGTCCACATAATAGCCATGGTATCTCTGGCTTGAAGGCAGATGAATGTCATCATATGCATAAATGATAAATGCTTTCCAGGACCCACTTTACCTTTCCTAAGGAGGGAGTTAATTTAACTTGTTAGTTTACTACTTATTGTCCATCATTGTGTATTTTCTCTATGAGTGAAGTAGCCACAAGAAAATTAGATGATTCATCTCCGTGTTTCTTTGGCCAAAAGTCTTTAATTAAATTGGAATTAAATTTCTGGAGTTTCAGCAACTATAAAATGTAATTATGTTGTTTAGTATGTTGTTTAGTATGTTGTTTAGGCCCTTGTTCCATCATGACTTTAATCCAACGTAGGGCTGTGCCTTCAAAAAAAAAAAAAAGAGGGCAGTCCTGCACCTCTTTCCTGCCATCAATAGATAACTTGTTTTAGCCTAATCTCTTGTACCAGCACTACTGATGTTATATTCTAAGCCACTAAAAGAAAATGATCCAAGCTGGAAATTAATCTTTTTGCTAGCTTAGTTTCCTAACACATTAGTTTCCCTCTTTCAGAGTTCTCCGATGCAATTATACTACTCATCGGAGTGAAGTCCGCATAAAGGAAGAGGCAGAAATAAGAAGCTGAGAAGCAGAAGGGATGGCTGGGCTTCACTTTCAGAGATAGCTTGGAGCCGTGGCTTTTACATTTGCCATTTGAGACCAGACAGGCTTCTTAACGATAAAACATTTTAATGATAAAGTGGTATGTATGATCTTGTTGTGGATCAAAAGTATAGGCCAGGTCACAATTAATTTGTGGTGCTCTGACCCTGAGTAGCTTTAAGATCTCTGCAAGTCATCTGTGAAACCACTGTGATTTTTTTGACACCCCTCATCCCTGACACACAATTCCATGTAATTGGCAGGCATAATTGGAATGCTGCAGTCAGTAACAGTGGTAAGATACTTGCAACTACAGGCAGATACTTACAACTGCTTTTATTATAAATGTTTTCATTATCAGTGTATTTTAGATTATATTAGTAAAAATTTTTTTTGATTAAAAAAAAAAAAAAAAAAGGCAGACAGTAGTGTTTGTTTTCAAAGATGTGAGTTTACTCAGACAAAAAAAAACCCGACCAAAACAAACAACCAATTAGTGGACCTTCAGCAAAAGAGGTTTATGATCTGGACATCTTAATGTGTCTTCCAGTGGCATTTTTGCATGATTTCTAGAAGACGAAGGGTAACTTTTCTTTTTCATCTTTTATCTCTGTTTACCTATCAGTTCCCTGTCAGCCTTCTAGTTAAGTAACAGTGTCTGCTGTTTTCTCAAGCCTATGTAATTACAGGATGATTGCTGCTGAGGGCATTACAATTATTTGTGAGATTGCACCTGCGTTTCTTCAGTAAATGAAGCATCCTTAAGTGACAGTTTGACCATAAGTGTTGAATGTGCTGGAATTAGTGAAGACTTAACCAGCTGGCTCCGATTTCACTTTATGCAGTTCCAGACAATGCGACATCAGTATCAGCAGCTCACAAGGTGCTTCCTGTTGTGCCTTGTAGCACTATTCTGCTGCACAATACACTAAAGGAAGAGCTGCTTCTGCAGCCACTTTATATGGAGGACAGCAAGCAAACTCAATAATTGATGCCATGCAGGACTGATGGCATGCCTGGATACCTGAGACAAGCTGTTTGACTGCTTCACCTAGCTGTGATCATTTGCCTTTCTCCTCCTTGGAAGAAGCAGGCATTCAGCCAGAATGATTCTTAGCTTAGGAAATAAATGCTCTTTCACTAGTTGACTGAAGAGCAGGACTAGGGGGCGGGTCATACTAATTGTATGTACTCTTTAAGTATGACTTACCATGTCTGATGTTGTTATCTTGTGGTTCTCTAGCAGATTTAAAGGGATTATCTATTTTAAATATGTTTACATTAAAGGAGGAAAACTATGAAGAGCTGAATTCTTAAAAAATGCTTTGCCACATCACATGGGCCTGTGAGAGAGGTGGATAATCAGGAAGAATTTTGTAGTTTGGTTGCTGTTCCCTGTGTACACACCCTCATCAGCCACTGGCTCTAAGACAAGAAGATGCGTATTCTCTGAATTTACGACCTGAACAATGTTCTAAACTGATCATCCAATATTTCATTGCCACCAGTGTTCCTAGTTTCGGATGCAGGGCAGAATTTGCTCTAAATACATATTAGTTAAGATAGTGGGGATTAAGGGATATTTCTGTTATTATTATTATCTGATTATTATTGTTCCTCACAGCACCTGAAAATACAACTTGTTTTGTGACTGATGTAGAAATACATGAAATGCAAATTATTTCACTGCTCATACTATGGTTCTGTTGTGAAGTGTGTGAATCTAGCAAACTGCAGATATTCATAAAGAGAAAATTAAACCAGTGTAAATGCAGTCCCATCACAGCCATTCAGAATGCAAGTGAATGCTTGTAAGCTGCTCTTTCAAGTTCAGCCAGCTCTACTTTGCCATCTAGAAAGTTATTTCAAATTCTGTGATACCACAGGGAAAGCTGAATAGTTTGCTGTTTGGAGCAGAGGCTGTCCTTTTGTGCACGTTCCTAACATATGAGAGTTTGCAGCCTTTGCCAAAGCGGCCACAATACAAAGTAATTGTTAGCAAAAGCAGTTAATACCTAATAAGTACATGACTTTTATTATTAAATCAGTTGTCTCTAATAGCAGAATACTCTAAGTTAGAAGATAGGTTTCTTCATGTATTTGTTATTTATAGCTTTCTAGATCCACTTATTGAACGTTTTGGGCCTATACCTTTTTTGATTTAATTTTGTTTCTGGTCTAGTCATTCTGCAGTGAAGAAGTATTTCAGCAAGCTGTGTTTTTTTTTTCCTTCTGAAGTTCCTCATTACAATATTTTTTTTGTTACTGTTAGCCCTGTCTTTAGGATATTTCAGTTATTTTTATAGTGTATATTGCTTTCTGAGTCAAAAGCAGATGGTACACAAGTGGTATCTTTAATGTTTTTCTGTCAGGTCTGAGTTTCCTTACAAAAGGCTGAAACATTGAGAAGTCGTTTTCAATATTTCTATAGTACAATAACACATTTTCTTTGTTAACAGGATTGCACTTTCTTCACTCGGAAAGAAATCCTTCGGTAAGTAAATTTATTAAATTTTTCCTTTGTGATTTGTATGGGAGGGACTAAACCTTTTTCTGACTTGTGAGGAAACCAAATAAAGCCAGTTATTTTGCATGAATGAATGAGCGTAGGATTTGACTCAGGATACACTTATAATACATAAATGTATATAAGGAAACAGGTTATGATTAGCTTAATGTCAATATCATCGGCTTTTCTAGGGATAAGCTATTGAAGAGTTGAGAGCTAGTGACTTTTCATGAAAGGAATTTGCTGCTTTTCTGCTCAGTTGTATCAATGAGGCACATCCTTCAGTACAGGTTTCAGTATGGACTTAAGTGTGGGGAAAGGTAGTGGAACTTAAACTGCAGAGTGCTGAGGGTCTTTGTTTCTGTACAAACCTTCCCTACAAAGACTGGGATCACTGTTTGCAGTAGAAGGGACTTGGGGTTTTTTGGTAGTCATGGATTGATCCAAACTGAAGTAATTTCTGCCTATGTATATGCTGACTTCTTGTTCTGGATCTCGCCATGGATTCTTGATCTTCTAACGGTTCAGATTAAGGATCCATAAAAGTATGGCATAGATCTGTCCTGTTTTTTTTCCCGGAGGATTTTTGCCTCACCAGGGAGTAAAGATAAACATGTGGTATGTGTCTAGATCTAGGAGCTCATAATGCTTCAGGATTCTCAAATTTGAGTAGTTTCTCAGACATAAGAAGCCTTTGTTTTCATAAACATTGGGAACTCCTTTGAGATCAAAAAGAGGCATGGTCTCAGTGAAGTGTTCTTCGCTCTTGCTCTGTTGTTGTAGACCTCAGTAAGACTGATGTTCAGAGACTCTGTCAAGGCAAAAACTACTGGCATGGCTTGGAGTGGGGTGCTTTATTTTTTGCTGGAAAAATAGAAGTGGAATTTCAGCTGATTCCTTGCATACCTTGTTCTCATTACTCAGAGAAATGGTGGACTCGCTCCTCAGCAGTGCACAACATCTCTGACCACTGTGCAGTAAGAACATTGCAATACCACCACCTAAGCTGGGATTTTATTTGGTCCACGTCCCTCTTATATAATGGTTATAGTTTAAAATTTAGTCACACTGTTGGAGTACATTTTCATGATACATAATGGTGTGACTGAATGAGCCAGAATGTGTGCAGTGAGTGGGTGACAACTGGCCCAAAGATAAACTAAGCTTAATGCAGACTGGCTCTAACTGAGGTACTGATGTCCTCAAAGTGAGTCAAGGCTTCACAAAAGTGAGTTATCATAGTGTGGATATAACTTCTTTAGCAAAGCATTCCTTAGCTGTGAACCTCTAGGAATGATGTGTAATTGTTACCTATAAAGAGATGTCGTTCTGTGTTTGTGGTACCCTACAAAAAATTGTGCAGTGTAAACAAAAATGAATGGTGATTGTAAGTTCTGTCAGGGCTGCGATGTTGTTAGTTCTGCTTGAGAACAGTGACTTTGGCAATAACAGAATTTGTCGTCACTATCCCTTCAGAAAAGTAGCTGTGAGTCAAAAATAACAGAGGCTTTGTGATTTAGATGTCTGAAGTGATTCGGTGATATTCCTGTGCCATCATTAGTTCCAGCAGTTGGATATGGAATAAAAGGTGTCCCTGTATAGCCACCAGATACATACATTATATAACCAGAGAAAAAAAATCCCTAATGGTTTAGTGTAATTTCCTGTATAAAACGGACCTTTAGCCATCTTCTAAGTCTTTTAAAAATCAACAAATACTGTTCTTCTGTTTCACAGGGCTACCTTGACGCACAACTTCTGAAATAAATTTGTTTGGATTGGATAAATTGAAAAATTTGCTTTATTTTTAAAATCCCCTTTAAGCTCAAAATTGTTAAAAGCTTTATAAACAGTGAATTACTTGTGTTCGTATTATGTTTCTATGAGGGAAATAATTGTGAATTAAGGATTTTACATTTTATGTAAGTTAAGGTTCTCTTTGAATACCTGATCTAATTGGAGAATCAGACCTTTCCAGAGGAAGTGATTTGTAAACTGATACTATGTCATCTTGCTCCTAGGAGTAATTTCTTTTTCTCTTTTGGGATAATTTCTAAGGAAATACTGGAATTAGCCTGAAAGAATCATTGATTTCCACTGCAAGAAGAAACACGGCAATTTTGGTACTTGTACACCTCAAATATGTCCAGAGAAAAAGTTGTGGACAAATAGGAAGCCTAAAACGTGTGCAGTAGAGGCCTAGTTTAAAGAAAGTGACATGTGACCAATTTTATAGCAAGACTATAACATTGGCGGGGGGAGAATGGACTCAAAACTGTAAAATGCTGATGGAAGAAAGGAAATAAGGAATTAAACATCTCCACAGAAGTTGTAATTAGGGAGCTGCTGAATCTGAATAGGCAAACTTTTTCTTTAGTCTGGAGAACAACATTTCCAAACTGTAAATTTGAACAATCACGTGCAACTGAGAAAATACAGGAGGTGCACTTTGAAAAATGCACTGCAGATTTCAAGAAAAGTTGATACTCTAATGAAGTTAGAAAATGTCATTGTATGGTAGGCAAACAGAAATTAACTGTATTGTGAAATCTGACTATGAAATGAAGAGTCAGCAAGTTCTGTTCTTTTTTTCTAGGTTGCAGTGGATAACAAAATACTTGTAGAGAGAACAAGTTTGCAATGTGCAGCTTTGTCATGCGCATAAATACTGGCTGAAATTAAGAGATATTTCTGTACAGAACTGTCATAAAACTTTCACATGCTTTCTTCAGTTTTTCTTGACATATGAGACGGAGAGAAAACATGTTGGAGTTTGATATTGGGGAACTAAAGACAGTGTTTTAGAACATTCTAAAAATCACAACAAGAAATGATCTGGACTTGCAGTTATCTTTTATATAACAGTGTTCTGGGGTTGACTTTCAATGTATGCCTTATCCAAAACCTGAGACTTTGCACACAGGACCTTTGATAATGGTAAAAACAGGTAAGAGCAGTGAATTGTCCTGCGGGACTGTTGCAGCATGAGGGAATATCTGAGTAGAAATGGATCTTTATTTCCTCTTTGATTTAGGCAGATTGCACAGTACTGTAAATTCTACAGTACTGGACAGAACACTACGTGTATCTGTTTCAAAACTGTCATTTGAAACTACATTTGCAGACAGGTGATTTGTAATCTCTTTTCCCTTGCATGGCAAGGGTGACATGGAGCAGAGGAGGTCACTGTAGTTCATAGGACTTGATGATAAAGGAAGCAGCATTGAATTGTGGAAAAGATTCTCCTGCTGTTCAAGAACAAGAGGATGCGCTTTTTATCTGAGAAAGTTTGGCATGGGGCCTATGGGGTGGCATAGAGACTGGGGAATTGGAAGCTCCTCTTTACTTTCTTACTCTGTCGCTAGCCTATGTAAGCAACTGAGCACCTTTGACAAATTGCCACTGTAATTTGTCTGTGTTACCTGCACTTAATATTTTTGTGCCTTTTAAGTATGAGGATATTTCCTTTGTCTTGTCTGTTCAGATTGCAAACTCTGCCTGGTAAGGATAACTTGAACTATTTTGACATGCAGGATGGTAGAGCTGATCTTAGTTGTAGCTTTTAAGTTTTACGGTAGTGAACAAGTGGTTCTGAATATTTTTTGAGGCTTATAACACCTCTGAGAGGTGTTATTGTCACTGGTAGACTTGGTCATTTAAATATAATGATTAAAGAACAATGAAGTGTTGAACGTGGCAAATAGTATTTAAGTTAAATCAACCCTGATAGACTTTAAGTGCTATTTCTCTAAAAGGCATAGGAATGGAAATAATTTTGTCTTGGTTTGCTTTTCTCTCTTCAGTAACATAAAAGGGCATGAGTGATAATGCCCCAAATTGTTATAATTTATTGTGAAATACAAGCGTAGCATCTTCCAATAGGAAACATTTAATGGACCTCAGCTTGAGTACTGCGAAAGCCTAACAATACATTTTGTATTTTGTGACTGAAGTTGTAAGGAAACAATGTATTTCCTGAGAAGGGAACAAAGCATGCACTTAGACTCAGTTACATTATTTATGTTAGGCTAAAGAAAACTGTTCTGCTTATGGGCTGTGTATGGGAGATAAGGGACCTATTCCCTGCATGACTTTGCACCCTATCTATATCCAAAAGAGCAAAACCAAGACTACTTACGAGAAGCAGTGCAACCTTCGAATATGATTGTGAAAAATAGATACTCTTGGGATAAGAGATTAGGTGAAAAATAGATGCTCTGTTGAGAAGTACAGTACACAAAGCTGAATATTAATATTTGATGTAGAATGCTTAGAAGAATAAAATCATGGCAGAAGCAATAATCTCTTGGAATAATTTTATTTCCTCTTCTGCCTTATCCTCACAGTGTGATATTTCTCCTTCTTGGGAACCTCTATATGTAATTGGTTTATGATATGGTAGATAGTAATACAATCAATAGCTTTTGTTTACTCTATACAAAGAGTTGGACACAAATTGCTGTTTAAGGAATTACAGTAGAATCAAAAGGTATTTCTGCATGTCTGAGGTGAAGTTTTACTGGGTGTGAATAAAATACGTTATGACCCCCTTGTTAATTAGCACTTACTGATTTAGCATGTCCCCACCTCAGTCAAGAGGGAGGTACTGTTGTGCATTTCTTTATGCCCTGCAGTATGCTCTCAGATGTGAGGTGAAGAAAGTTCATATGAAGCAGGTCCAGTTCTGTTCAGGCTGAATGGAATTTCTTCTGCAGCTGTGAAGTTCAGTGAGATAATCCAGTGAGGAGTAACCTTACAAAAAAACAGAAGTGGATGGTTTTTTGGCTGAAGTCAGCTACCCTGCCTGGCTCACCATCCATTTGCATATGTTAGCTGGGGATGAAGGGAAGAGGCACAGTTGTGTAGGTGGGGATGAAGGGGTGAATGTGGGAGCTCCAATTTACATCAATTTAAACTGATGTAAACCAGCATGAGATTGCAATTAGGTGAAATGGGCTAAGTGTTTTTATCTGTCCCTACAGGAA